ACTGGCTGAAATTAAAATTTTATATTGGGAACCAACTTTTAGAAATGAAAATAAAGTAAAATTTTTTTAGCTAATGCCCTGGAGTTTTACAGAAAAATATAATGAACTAACTGATCAGCACTACTTTAAGAAAGAAATTTCATCTTCTTTGGTCAAACATGACAAATGAGCTAATATATGCAGATATCACTATTAGATTTTAAATTGTTAAGATAGCTTCATACAATATTACATACTGGGATGCCTTGGCATTGAATTTTTATGTGTGTGCAAATAGTTCTATGTTCATATTCATGTCTATAAATAAATGTCACTAAGTTGATCAGGGGAAGAAAGATTGCATCTGTGTTCAGCATATCCAAGCCATTTTGCATAATGATGGTACCACAGCATTTGGGAGGACCCAGCATGCATAGCCATGGAGCATATTTACTTGGCCTGTGGTTTTACTGTAGCCAAATGTGATTGGCCCACATCCCAGTCAGAAAATGATTTATAACCTAGGATAATCAAATTTAGTATCTCTTGCTTACTGGACGATGTCACAGAATTTTCAAATTTAGTGATTTTCCCAAAGTCAGGAGGTTTTAAATGTCCTCTGTGATTTTTCTGTAGGTAAAACTAAAACAGACACAGAGATGATATTTTCTAATGTATAATTTTTACAAATGAAATTTAGAACTAGTGTGGATATTAAGAAGGAACTCTATATCAACTTTAAAAAAATAGTTTAGTTCCCTCTGCATATTCATAAGTGTCTGCTTAGAGTTTACAGGAAGGGATGTTTATACTACTTCCTACAACCAAAAAGACCTTTTTACCAGATTGTCAGAGACAAGCAAGATAGCCCCAAACCCACGGTATGGGAACCTGCTCAGGATATTTTATAGACTTGCCACTTCAAAACTAGACTGTCATATTCATACTGCTTCATCTAGGTAGATTTTTCTTTTCAGTTTTGTTAATGTTTGGAGGTCATAGTATTTAATAGAAGAAAGCTTTACTGCTTCAGGTGTCTTGATGTGAGCTATACCTACTCTTGAGATAAAATCAGTCATTTCTTCTCTTAGTAGCTCTTTCTCAAACAAGCCAATAATAGATAAACTGGTTGAAGTTTTTGTTGTACAGAATCTCATGGCATGATGGAAAATAAGCCTGTCTTAGATTTATCTTGATTTACCATGGAAAAAAGAGATGTCTATGGTACCTTCACAATCAAAATACATCAGTGTTAAAAGATGAAATGATTAAAATGATAGACGTCAACCAAAAGTATACTTGAGAATATAGAATTAAGGTGACATCATCACAGATATATAAGAAGAAAAGCCAAATAAATATATTTTCAAGAACAAAATAATAATACCTTTGATTTAAGAATTAAAGGGATCAAGGCAAATATATGCTAAAATAAAGTAGAAATTTGAAAGCTCCGCCCTATGAGCATTTTCTTCTCAAATTTGGTGGTAACAATATTTAATTGTAATATCACATCTAAAAAATTAGACTACCCATCCCATGCTATTCATATTTATAGCACATTGTTTAGCCCAAAAGAGACTAGACATTTAGGAATACTACCTTTTAAGTCACCTAGTATCACCTAACAAAAGAGCAAATGCTCTAAGTAGTAAACCAATCTCATTACCATTGTCTTTCACTAAGAATCATTTTGTAACATAAATAATAAATAACTTACTTATAAAAATATTTCACAACAAAACACCATCAGCTTTCAAAATGTATTTGTATGTGGTCGGTCAACTTAAAAATAAAATAATTTTAAGTAAATGTTTATAATTGTAAATTATGTCATCTGTTGCTGAATTCTGATGTCTCCCATGAGTATTGTACACTGAATAAAAGTCTTTTTTGAAGAAGCAAGTAAGTTTTCAGAAAATAGGAAATGAGTCGGGTGGATTGGGAGGTGGGGAGGAACTGGGAAGAGTTGGGGGAGGGCAAAAATATGATTTAGTCATATTTTTATTGTATGGAAACATTAATATATTTTTAAACTTAAAAACGTACAAAAAAGAAATGAGTGACTGTTTTTTTCTTTTACTTGACGGAAGCCACTGACATATATTTTGTGTTTCCAGTGAGAAAATAACTGTGCTTCTCAAGATGCAAGCTGACCTTGAATTAGAAGGCCCTGTTCTTACTCTGAAAATACAGAGTGCTTCTATATAACCCACGACTGACGAAGCAATAAATCAACCTGAACTTCCTTACTAAATAATGTGAGTTACTAACGTTCCTTATCTAGCTCCAAGTTTCTAGAATTTGTACAGACTTGATTTTGGTTAATAGCTTACACTCCTATTTCAGAGACACTCTATTTGCATCTTGGTTCTTGGCTAATGCAAATGTAGCTGTGGTTGTGCATGAAAATGCTGCCAGAGAAGCACACTACCCTCTTTCACTTGGCTTACAAAGACTATACCAAGAAAGCTGACTTCAAATTTGAGATCCCAAACGGTGCCTAAGAGTATGATAAATAGTAATAACAATCAAACAACTAATTAGAATTTTCTCTTTTGGATTTACTTCTTAACAAGTACTGTAACTATTCAGCCTTCTCATGTTCTTGCCTTAGCAAAGTGGATATACAGAAATATTCACTACCTTCTCAACTTTGGAATGCCTATATCTCATGCCTATAACTTCCTGTAATACTTTCTTTCCCTTTTGTACTGACCACGTAATTTCTCAGACACTAGATCTAATTCCTACACATCAACCATATGCCCACATGTATATTATTGTTTTCTTTCAGCACTTAGTATCAATTTGTATTTTGTAATTGTTTTTACATATAGGCAGAGTAGAAATATTTCTTTCCTATTTTACAAGGAAATAGTGGTAAAGCCCAACAAATCAGTCTGCAGAGCCCTTGGGAGAAGCCTGAAGTACATCATGGTATTGAGAGGTTCTTGAGTGATTTCTAAATGACATCTTTTAAGATTTCCAAATGAATAATTCATGAATCTTAATCCACAAGCCTTGTTAGGCAGCAGGAAGGAGTGAAGTGAGCACTGGATGAGCTGCTGAGAAACCTAGAATTTAGCCTTTTCTCTGTTAAAGTAAAGAAGCACTTGGCTGAGTTACTTTAATCCTTTGAGCCTCAGTTTTTCCAGTTGTAAAGTATAAGCAACTTTACTTCTCAAAACACAAAGAAGTACTACTAGTTCCTACAAATGGCCAGGATGATATATTCCAATGAATTTTTATTCTTTTCCTAAAAGAGGATGATTTTTGAGAGACTAGTCTTAAAGGAATATCCATTTTAATAGGCAAGAGAAATGGGATGGTCTGTACTCCATTTCATAGGACTGCATGGTAGTCACATAAAGGAGTTAAATTCTATTTCTGCTTTTATAAAAATCTGATTGACATGAGAAGAGAGAACACTATATAAGCAGAAGAGGAAAATACATATTCTTTTCTCCCATGCTTTTCAGATACCCAGCAGAAAGAGAGTTAAATTCACAAGAGTCTTCTGGTAAAAGTAAGCATTTTGTAACAGGTAATGCCTCAATTTTGTTTCTCAGAATTTTTTTCTGCCGATACAATATCCAGCACCATATTACACAGTCTGCCACCAAAGTAAATGTATTAGATACATTTATTATAATCAGATTACTGTAAACAAAAAAGGGAAGAACATGTTTACTCAAGAACAAAATGAAGTTTCTGCAATGAACACAGACTTCTCAGAGAATGACTTTTATAAATATTCAGCAATGTGCCTAGCATAATGTCTGCTTATGCTAAACAATTTCAATTCTTTCTATAAGATGGATGCATTTCCTGCATAGCTGAAAATTACCAAAGCTGGAGGAAAGAAATACTCTTTGCTGAATGACCAAAACTCTCTGAAATAGCCACTTCTGCTTGTTCAATAAAATTATAACTTTCTTTCCATGGAAAATTACCCCAGTATAAAAGCAAATCAAAGAACATCTTCACAGCAAACCAAATGAATACCTATTTAGGGTCTAATCCTTGGTCATATTCCACATGCCTCTTCATCCCTTCCCTCACTTCAGATAGAAATCCATCTTTTGCTTTTTCTTAAGTCTCTGAATACAGCTCCTAGCAGTTGCATGTCAGTGATGGCTTTATAATTGTTTAATGTAAGAAAGCATCTTTCTTTATCTTTCCAATCAAGAAAAAGAACACAAAAATTACAAGCAATGCACTTACATTTTGTAGAAAACAAGTTAAGTCAATTATGCTGATCAGAAATATAAACTAAAGCACATTGTTGTTTTTATTGTACTGAGTGATTACTCTGATAAGTATAGCTTATCTAAGAGAATCAGAAAAGCTGTGCCTGTCTGTCTTTCTTATTTTCCTCCTCTCACATTATAAACACATCTTTTCTTCTGGACTTGTTTTTTTTATTTTTTTTAATCTCTAAAGTTACTTATAACTACAGGTTATTTTTACAGTAAAAATGTGTAACTCACACAGAGAGGAGAATGACTTATGCTGGTTAAAGTCTTGAGATACAACTAGTCATTTTCAAAAGCATTTTGAAAGAGGCAATGAATCAACTATCTTTTATCATTCAGCAGTTTAAGAAATATCATCACCAAAATGTTATAGCAAAATGTAGATAAAAATCTCCCAGTATGTTTCTGCAAGTAACCTTTCTTAATGCAAGCTAGGGTAAATTACAAATATTCATAGTCCTATTTTGTCTGGTATCAGTTGTGCTAAATACATTATTATACAAAGAAATATTCCATTTCAAACTTACATTTTATCAAGTTCGAAGTTACATTCTTCCTCCCACCTTAAGCAGACAATCATATAATTATTTTTGCTTGTATAAATTCCAAGAAAATGACCTTCGTGGATGGTCCAAGTTCATTATATTCATAACTATTTAGATCTAACAGATTAGCTAGAACCTGATGCCAACTGTCCAATTCTAGATATCAAGAGTGAAAGGCATGTGAGAGCTAATTATTCATTAACAATTTGGAACCTACCGTTTCAGTTTCTTTCTCTTTTCTCCAGAAGTCTCCAAAGAATTCATGTGACAGCCACTCCAATGAGGATGCTACTGTTCCGTGCATCGATCCAGCTCTGTTTTCTGAAAACAACCAATCCAATTTTCATTCACTCCCCCAAAAAAGCAATGAAGGAGGAAGAGGGGGAAAAGAAGGAGGGAGGGAAAGAGGGAGGGAGGGAGGGAGGGAGAGGAGAGAGACAGACAGAGGCGGGGGAGCAACAACAGAAAAATGATGAAGGCAAAAGGGGGAAAGGCAGGTAAAAGAACTTAAGGATTACCAAACCACTACCATGTTGGAAAATATGGTAGTGAATTGTCAGAGTGAAATATGCAAGCTGTTCTGAACACATTGAACATTTCCGTTTTCCAGTGGGTGGGTTAGCAGCTCTCTCTCTCTCTCTCTCTCTCTCTCCCTCTCTCTCTCTCTCT